AACTAATCCATAATCTTAAAGTACATTTTACGTGCTGAATGTTTTATCAAATGTTGCCTTTTTTTTCTTGCTTCTGTCCAACACGGGCTTTATAAACGTCTTCAAGAGTTTTTGTGAATTTGTTTATATCTATTGCCGTGAGTGGAACAAGCAAACACTCAATAAATAAATATTAATAGAGTCATCTTTAGCTTGTTCCACCATAAAATGCTAAACGGACTTTACATACTACATGTCATCATTCACCCTTTCACACCTCATTCATACAGAGCAGTGCCACTTGCGAAGCTAACACACACACACACACACACACACACACACTCGCACACACACACACACACACACACACACACACACACACACACACACACACACACACACACACACACACACACACACACACACACACACACACACACACACACACACACACACATACACCGTTGGCCATCGGGAGCACCTCGGGGTTCAGTATCTTGCCCAAAGATGCAGTCGCCCCAAACATAAAGTAAAACATTCAAACTCTTTGATTGTGATTTTTCCCTAAACCTAACCCTAACCCGTTGCTATGGAAACATACTTTTGGGATTTAAAATGTAAAAAACACATATTTTGTAATGCATCGCTTATCTCTTGCACCTTTTGATTAAACTGCGTTTCGTGCCATTATAATTGCTTTTTCTGGCAGTCAGGAAATGAGAAACAGAAATCCTTTATTAGTCCTGATGCGGGAAAATTGAAAATGAATATTTACGTTATGAATACTTTTCCCACAGTAATTAATCCCACTTGACAAAAATACTCTTGTTTATTTCAACGTATTGTTTGATATCTTACCTCTCGGCCCAAACTAAGATACATATACATGTTTGTGTTGTCCTCTCTCCTTATAGTCCTCCACTCCTGTCTTTATCTGTGTCCTGTTTGTTTCCCCTCTCTGCATGACGAGCCCTCTGACTCTCAAAGACTCTTTACTTTGAGTATGAAGCTGCACAGAAGGCTGCCCTGATATCCCAGTCAACATTCATTATTTTATTTCATCAGACGCAGCTTTCAGTTTCTCCTTTTTAAATCCATCTTGTATGACAGGTCACTCTCCCATCCCTTGTTAATCCCTCCTTCTTCGGAAAAATACAACTGACACATCGCCTCTCTTTCCTTGTGTCTCCCTTTGATAACATGCACAGGGAAATAAGCACTTCTCTGTGAAGCGTACTCGGAGGATTCACATTTTTAAAGAAGCTTCAAATCATCTTAAAGCATGAAACCTTCCACACCCTCTTCTTTCAGCTTCTTTGTTCACAGCTTTGGTTCAAGGCTATATTTAGACAGCTCGTCAAGGACAATCCTCCGACTGCGGCCAAGAAGATAAAACCGATGTTTTCTTTACTATTCTTACAAAACACTTTCCCTCCGTCCTTGGTAAAGGACAAAGAGGCGCCATCACCTTCAGTGGTGCATGCTTGGTCTCTTTGCAACATGTTATTTCTTCCACTTTCTCCCCCTGCTCCTGGAGAGCATTCGAGCCTCAGCTTGATGACTGTGATCGTGGATGTATTGTGTTCTGTGGAGTTGGGACACACAAGACTGCTTCTGTTTTGTTTGTCTTTCTATTTAAAGGGGCTCTATTAGGCTTTTCGGGGTTGTCCTGTTCCTGAAATGTTATTATATAGATGCATGTAAATCAGGGGTGGGGAACCTCCGGCCCCCGGGCCGTATATGGCCAGCGAGACAATTTGATACGGCCCTCGAGGTAATTTATAAACACACGCAAAAAAGAAATCTAGACCGCAAAATAATTAAACAAGCGAGTGCCTGTTTTTCCTGGCCAAGGTCAGGGTCCTTGAACACAACACAAACCTAACGTGTCATCACGTGGTATATGTCTCGTCTGACAGGGGTGCAGTTCTGACGGAGAGCACCAGAACACGGCTCCGGCACTTCAGATAAGGAGCTGTGCACATGCCGCTGTTTTTGCGTGGCTGTCGAAAGCCCAGTGGCGATCTGTTCATCTGTCATACTGATCATACAGTCAATAACTTTGTTGTTATTAGCATAGCGAGCTATGCTAACGAAGAAGCTTTTTCTACAACCAGTGAGGTAAAGGCACATCTTTATATGATCATTATAGTTATAAAAAAATAATAGAATAAAGTAAACGGGTATAAAATACTATATGACAGTAAAAAAAGTTGTTATTAATAAGAATACAGTTTGAAAGGGGAGTGATTTGTAAAATATCCATAAAGAAAAATAAATCTGCTTCCAGTTCTGTTGCATATGGGTGTTGAGATGTATCCATAGAGCTCCTAATTTTGCTCTCAAAGTGCACCAGATTGATGCTTTTAACTTCAACATTTAAAAAAAAAATCTTCCCGAGGAAGCATGCCCCCCGGACCCTCCTAGAGGAGGTTAGGTCCCCCCCCCACACACTTTAAATCATGTTCACATGGATAGGAAACTAAATACATTTGCACACATCTTGTGTCCATATCTTTTT